GATTCTGCCCGACTAGTATCAAAATTTTTTTCCGGAAAAATTATATTGGCGACCTCCCCCCCGCGAGCGGAAATTTTACCCCATACCACTCCCCCACCTATAAACTGAACCAGATGCAGATTGCTTTAGAACTGACGTTCCATACAAACGAATTAATATTTCGTAACCGTAACTTCTTGTCTAATAGGCAGGTTTATTTTATTGCTCACACTATGGAACAGAGTTCAAGTTTTATTTTAACTGTAGTGTGGACCAGCGCAATTTGTTTTCTTAAAAACATTAAAAGATTTCATTGTTCCGTAAGTGAACATGAAAACAAGGTTTGTGGGTCATGCAGAGTGCATGACTGTAAATTTGCCGAATTTTGTGGCAACGGTTTTTGAACTTTTATAAGAAAAATTATTTTTCTATTGCCATTTTAAAACTGATCCTGACATATAAAATTATCTATAAACAGGTGAAAACAGCTGTCATTGAAATATGAATATTTTAGCCCAACGGACAATTGTTTATTGCTGCCGCAGCGAGCGAGCCTGAAGCGAGCGAGCAAGGCAGCAGATCCTAATTTTGTTTTGTGGGTCGAAATCAAAATTTTCCATTTGGCGCATTGCATGACGGTACCAGTGAATTTTAACCGTGGTGCAGCGCGGTCAGGCATAAGGCAAACAGACAATGTGATCATCTTTCATCTTTGGTCTTCTTTTATGGAAAGCCATAGCTGGCTTAAAGTGATCAAACGGCATTTTGTTGGGTGCTTTTAGCATTATACGGTGCATGGTGCTTTCGGCATTATACTCGGTGCTTTCGCCACTATACGCGGTGGTTCCCGCATTATACGCGGTGGTTCCAGCATTATACGCGGTGCTTTCACCATTTATATACGCGTTGCTTTTGCAATTAATACTGTATTTACTCGATTTAGCGCCGCCCCCGATTGAACGCCGCCCCCGAATAAGCGCCGCATTTGAGATCAATTTTTTTTAAAGAGCGCCGCCCCCGAATGAGCGCCGCACTAAACAGTGTAAAAACTTTCCGCCGTCAAAATGGATACATTTAGTGACAAAGACATTTAAAACTTCACAAATAAAATATTTTTTAAAGAGCGCCGCCTCCGATTGAGCGCCGCCCCCGAATGAGCGCCGCATCTGAAGCTCTTTTTGTATTGTATTAAAACTTTATTTAAAGACACTAGCCCCGTCAACGGTGCGTTGGTTTCCACGGGGGGCGTCTACAATGTTAAAAATTACAAAAGATATAAGGGAAAAGAAGACTATTTACAAATTGGTGTGACCCCAGATGTTATGGTTAGACGGAGTTACAATTTATTTCAAATATATATAGTATTAGAGTTAAGTTTTAAATGGCTTTTGAACAGGTGCATTGATTCTGCCAGTTTCGTATCAATAGAGAGACTATTCCATAGCTTAGCCCCACTGTATTTAAAACTCTTTTTTAGGAATTCTCTTTTAGGCTTAGGAAGAGCCAAATCTGTATGACTATTTCTAAGATCATAATTTGTTTGCATATGATTGCGTCTTATCAAGGATTCTTTCAACGTAGGTCCTACGTAATCCTTCAAGACTTTAAACATTAATATTGCTTTGGTTGTACGTCGTCTTGTCTCTAAATTGTCCCAAGCAAGAGATTGAAGAACATCAGCAGATCTAATCTCATAACTTGCACCGACAATGATTCGGGCTGCGCGATTTTGAAATTTTTGGAGTTTATTTTTCAAATTTTGATCACAGACGCCCCAAATGGGAGAACAATAATCAAAATACGGCTGAATCAGAGCTCGATAAATTGTTTGAAGGGTGGTTATTGGAACAAAGGGTTTAATACGTCTCAAAGTACCCAGGCCTGCTCCAACCTTTTTGCAAATCGCCTGAATATGTGAATTCCAGTTAAGATTTTCATCTAAATCGAGACCAAGACATGTGAAAGAGTGAACTCTGGGGATGCGTTGGTTATTTAACATCACTGGATGATCAAAAGTTGTGGAATTAATATGATGTTTAGAGCCAAAGAACATTATTTTGGTCTTAGTTGGGTGGTGTTGTAATTTATTTCTAGAAAGCCAATCACCGATTCTACTCAGATCGTGATTAAGGTTTTCGGTTAATTCAATCAAACTGTTAGAGCTGCAGCAAATTTGGGTATCGTCAGCATATAAATAAGGAGTAGTTTTTTGAAGGCAGTCGGGGAGGTCATTGATATAGAGTAAAAATAACAGTGGACCTGAAATAGATCCCTGCGGAACCCCAGAAACAATCCTTTTTGACGATGACATTGAATTATTAACAATACAGACTTGCTCCCTATTATTTAAGTAAGACTCAAACCATCTTAACTCAATATCCGATATACCGAATTGATCTTTTAATTTATAAAGCAGAATATTATGATCAATTGAGTCGAAGGCTTTACGAATGTCAAGAAAAACAATGCCGCTCAGATGAAGTGAGATCTCACACCACTCAAGTCACTCAAATCTTCATGTTTCTTTTCGGCATGGTTTTATATTAACGCTTCCCAGCATTGCATCTCCTGGGTTCGGTTGTACGCGCTACCCACCGCCGAATAGTGATTTTTCAACCGTTGTGATGAAAGTGCTTACTTAAAAAGCAATATAATTCAATGCAAACTTCCTAACAACTTGTTTATGAATATTTCTTCTGAAATATTTCTTCAAGAACATTGTCTGGATCAGTAGGACTTTTCTTCTCTGACGTTTTGAAATAAACAGGCGTGCAGAAATACTAAAACGGCAGGTTAAATTTTAACCGAAGGTTAGCGCTAACTAGTTTTGAATAACCGTTCACAATTATTAACATGTAAAATTTTTAACATGTATAAACGTTTTTTCCTACTCTGACAATGAGATCAATGCTTATATTCCGGCCGATTATTTTATTTAGACCATCGTTCCAGTCTGCAGATTAAGCGTGGTTTGCACGAGCAATTCTGTCGGCGATCGTTCTACTCCTGGCAAATGTGATCGAAGGAATGACATGCAAGTTATATCAGTGCATAGAAAAAAGATAGAAAAACTTGTCTCATGCAAGCGACTCTATTCCGGCTTTTATGTGCGAGTTCACTCATTTGCATCCGTCAGAAACACATCCCCAGTATAAAGTTAGCGTTCTATTGAACTGCCCCGTTCTGCAAAAAATTGTTTTATTTCTGCAGAACAATTTTCATTGGACTATAAAGTTAAAAAACTATAACCTGTTCAACAAACAAGCCATAGAATCTTTCATAACAAGTTTTATTATTGTTGTCGTTGTCATGCGCTGTAATGTTTCCATGGATCAAGTAAGTTGAAGTATGATATAGAGTGTGAGCAGAGGAGTGTGAGCAGAGGAGTGTGAGCAGAGGAGTGTGAGCAGAGGAGTGTGAGCAGAAGAGTGTGACTGCGCTGTTCTTTAAAATTACTGCTCTTCATCTTGGGCCTTGCGTGACGGTACGGGCAGAGCCGTGATGCGTTGCATAAATATATTTACTCTCAGGAGACTCAGTGAATTGGACAAATCACAAAACTGTCAGTTTAATTAGTCCAAGCTTGTGTGCAAATATAATCACAATAGAATGGAATAAATGAAATTTGCAATCCGTGACGGTTTCTTGATTTTTGGCAATGTTGTTTAATCAATGATAAATCATACAAGACAATTATTGACTTTGATAGTTTCAACCATGTGCAGATCAAGGAAACAGCTTTATAACCGCTTTCCGCAATTCTTTATACATAAGTACAGTTTAATTGCGGTACGATCCTGATTTGGCAATATTCAGTCTTGAATAACTCAAGCCATCGACCGATTTTCCTAAATATATAATAACTCAAGCCATCGACCATTTTCCTAAAATATAGCTAGATCTTATCACAGTTATTAACTGTGATCTTATCGAGGATGAGAGTTGCAACTCTCGCTTGCGTTTCACTGTCAACTCTTATCTCCTTTGAACTTTGGTTCAAATATCGGTTCAAATTTTGATTAGAGTTTCGCGCGATAGTATCCAGTCCACTCATCAACTCTTATTCTCGCTTGACCGGAGCATGAGAGTTGAGAAACTCTCGCGCGGTCAGTCCGCAATACGAATATATGTATTCCTGAAAACAGGCTTAAAATTTACAAAAAAGCTTTTTAACCGCGCTCAAAGTTTGTAAAATGCATTTATTCATGTAAAACTTCCTAGTAGACTTTACTTTTAGTTTTTCTAATAATTGTTTACGCGAGCGAGGCATAAACACTCGGGTCTTGACCCCTGAGATTTCATCCGATATCAAACAAAGAAATTAACGAGCGGGTTTTCAGCAAGGAGTTTCAGTTGCGCCGTACGCAGGATTTTTCACCGGGGGGGGGGGAGCAGTAATACCTACATGCTGAAATAAGCACCCAACAAATATCAAACACTCAAAGTCATATCAGTTAGATATATGCTTATGGCTGTCCCATACAGAATCGATTATAATACAGGTTTTAAACTAAATATTTTGAATTTAGATATATTTGTAGGCTATTTGGTACGCGTACCTTTTTGTACCGGCGATTGTTTGATACGCCGAGCATGACTAATATCACGAACATGTGATCACAAATTTGCGGAAAATACCTTACCATGTACATAGTATTACGTGGCTTAATAATAACATTGCACCCTGAACATGAGAGTTTCGCGGTTTTTTACGTTTATTCATCGTTATATTTCGTCCTGAAATCATATCAGACAATATATGTAACCAAAAGTGAGTATAAACGATTAGTTTATGGTGGTGTTAGTGTATTTCACAGTAGGCCCGAGGTGTCCTTGGAATCTGCGTGAAAATATTTTTCATTTTTTGTTTGCTCTATATAGAAGCAAAAGTGGAGTGGATAAGCAGACCACGAAGCAGGTTATTTGTGAATGCTGGAGAAACTGCAGAAATAAAATGGAGATTCCCTCCTGGAGCAAAGCTCATAACTTATAAGAAAAAATCAATCCAAGGGGACGAAGTTATGATCGCTTCAAAACAAGGTGTAGGCGAGCCTGAAATGTTCAATGCTACCGAAAGTGTCATCAGGGTAGAACAATCTGGAGCATTAAGTATTTTAAAAGCAGGACTGAAAGATGAAGGATTTTACGAGATTGCTATCGCTTATAATAAGGGAATTACACTCAAGGACGAAGTGGAAATTAAGATACAAGGTAACATTTTAAATATATGAAGCCGGTATATCTCCAAAGCCAAGTGTTGGTGTAGTAGTGAATAGTGAATGTACTGCAACGTCTTCTTACACTGAATATAAGTTGAACTTTTCTGTGGCGAACACGTGAAAAATTGCACGGCTGTGACCTTATGCTGACAGCATACTGTACAAATTTACCAATTAGGGTTTTTTCACTGTACAATAATTGATCACATTTTTAAAATACAGATAGCATAGCTTCATTCTGTCTTGTACCCAGCCGTCAAAGCATAAACATTATGAGTACATATATGGATCAGTGGACTAAGGAATTTGATGCATTATGGGAACGCATTCAGGGACTGGGTACGAGTCAATAGTTTATCAACTTCATCCGAAGCTTTCACCTGTAACCTTATCCCTCTTCAGTCAAACATTAACTTACCACCACACAATTGCGAGGTAAAATTTAGAGTTAAGTAAAACTGAGACATTGGTACTTCAGTTTCAGTCCCAGAAGGAAGCTTTTCGTAATTTCTAAACGTTCAATTTCAGAGGCTCCTGCAATCACGACATTCCCAAGTCATACAAAAAGCGAGGTGTTCTATGTAGGAATGACGATAAACCTGGTGTGTATGGCTAAAGGTCGTCCTGTTCCTCAGGTTCAGTGGTTTAAAGATGAGAGTGATCAACCATTACAAAAATCATCTGGATCTATTCTTCATCACATCAAATCTGCTTCAAAGGAAGATTCAGGAAGATATACATGTCTTGCATCAAACCAAGCAGGAAAAGTTATCCGCTCCATTGAATATATCATCCTCCGTAAGTATCATTAGTAAAACTGTTTTCCACTAAACCAATTTTTTTTCGCGAAGCGACTTTTTCCTTGTCAGCATCGCTTTTGCTGACGTGATAAGCCTGGCCGACACAGGAAAAAGTTGCTTCGCGCGAACAAATTCGTTTAGTGGAAAACCGACCTATCGTTGCATTGTCTTTTTACACTAGTTGCTGATCAATAGTTAGCAAATCATCTGTGGTAATACAAAATCTCTGTTGGTCAACCAACATCTCTCGCACAGATATCGAATATGGATGATTTCATGGATAGATAGTTTCACTAGCTTTTGCAGTCCTCGCTGCTGGAATGACCCCTTCAGCCGCCCAGTAATGTCTGAAAGCCTTAGAATGGCAACGGAGTAAAAATAGTAACAAATAATAACAAAATAATAACTTTACAATCATGAAAGCACTGGGAAAATTAAGTACAATTTTGTATGAAATTTATTAAGGAAGAAAGTTCAAAGACTGCGTTTTTCACAACTGGTTAAAAATAGCCTCCTCCGCATGCATCTCCTGGTTCACCTTGGCTCGGTTTGGATTTTTTGCCTGCAACCAAATTCTGCCTCCAATTGAAAAGCAATATGTATGCAAATGAGGCTAGGTGCCAATATAAATTTGGTCTCCCGCCCCCTCCCCAGCCCCCCATTCCGTCCAATATTTCGCGAAATATTCGTTACGATACCATTTTTAGGGCAGCACGATACTTGCGATAAAATCACTCTTGAATTACTTTGAACAGACTTTAAACTTGGAACGCAAAATCCTCAATTTCATTTGAAAGCTGCGACTTTCATGACGATAAATTTTGCGGAAAAACAAAACTATCGACCGTAAACATGCATCTTTATAAATATTTTTATTATATTCATTATTATATTTGCATTGATAAAGATGTCGTGCTAAGGGAAAGTGCATTTATTACGCCGAGGGGCGGGGGGGGGGGATGAAGATGTCTCAAAAAAGCTCATATTTCTATGCCCCCCTCCAAGCTTTTAAAATTTTCAATGCCCCCCCCCCCTCCAGAATTCGGAATCGAAGGAGTACAATCCGGAATTCTCTCTTATGATAGATACAATTTGCAGTCCCTCAAGATGTCTGATATACTCAAACATGTGCTTCTCCTCAACTAAAATACCGACCTGCTGCTGCTTCTTTCACCTCACTAGCGGCAGATGAAATGGCACCGTCTTTAAAAAAATATTTTAGATTGGCTCTAGGGGCGAAATTATCAACATGCAGGTTGTTGTTGTCCGTCATTCAGCGTAGTCGGAGTCTTGAACACGTTCATGTTGTGGCCAGGATTTCCTGGATCAGGGTAATGTGCTGGAACCTTAGAGAATGTCGCCCCCACCCAACGTACCTCCTGGCATCTGTTGCAAATGTCTTTGCATGCCTTTCAAAAATGCATGCAAAAGTGCCAGTATGCTTCAATTTCTTTAATTTTCATCCCGTTTGTACTAAATATCCCATAAACATAGAACATATCATTCTTACAAATCGTATGCTTTTTTTGTTTTTGAAACTGCTACTTTTATAAAGATTTTTGTGATTATTTGACACTCTCATACTAAGTTTTGGGAGAAAAGGGGAGTCTGGGGGTCCTCCCCCAGAAAATTTGTACATTCTTGAAGCTCTAGGACTGAATTTCTGGCGTTTTCTAAAGCAAATTCGCAAACAAATTGCATGCAAATTGACTGTATTTTACAAAAATGGTTATCACTTCACAAAAATAATTCATTTATTGCGCAAATTTTACCTGAAAATGTCTTGAATTTAACTTGAATTTTACATGATTTTTGCCTGAATTTCACAGTAGGGGGCAGTCTCCAAACCATCTATTCTATTAACTATGGTGAGAGTGAACACTCCAGGTGGCGTGCTGGACCAAAACTTTGAAAAGTTTTGAGCCCCCCCTTCAGTATATCGAGAACTTTCAGAGCCCCCCCTTTAATGCCAGAAAATATTTCGGTGCCCCCCTTAACATCTTCATCCCCTCGGCATAGTAAATGTACTTTCCCTAAGCTTAGTATCTTTATCAGTGCAAGTAATAATAATGAATATAATAAAAAATATAAATAATAAGAAATGCAAATAATACTAAATAATAATAAGGATCGGATCGAAAGCAAAAAACAAGACTATTATTATATTCATTGTTTTTCTAATTTTAGCAATCAAAATAAGTCAATTTCAGTCAAATCCTGGTATAATAAATGCCAAGGTGTTGGTCGATCGGCAGCATTTCATTGCGATAGTAACTTCTAGTTATAACATGAACTAAAATTCCTCCTGTTTTCTTCAGGACGACCATACGACATTGATTTCGTTCACAATACGGCATTAGACGGAACGATTTATGAAGGAGAAAGTGTCAGGTTTATGTGCTCTGCTAAAGGGAATCCACCAATCACTTACTACAAACTTCTTCACAATGGAAAGGAAATTGACAAGAGTTCGAGTGGAAAATACATTATTACGGAAGTAAGACATAAAAATAACGGCACATATTGCTGCATTCCAATTAACAGAGCTGGTCTGGGAGAAAATAGGACTGTTGTACTGAAAGTAAAAGGTTAGTTTGGGAAAATTCTGGATTGCTTTATGTCAAGTTCTGTATATAGTACGTACATTTGCAGCTCTTCAATCAGTTCTTCATATGCAGCTCTTCAATTAGTTCCACTTTGCGATTGGCTAGTATGTCCTCGTGTCTTACCCCGTCGGCCCGTCTAATTGTTCAGTATTTAACACAGTAGCAATCTAAGAAGACATTTAGATTGGATAACTGCAAGCAAATTACCTGAGAATAAAATGCATAACATATTAAAGAGGTCTCGATTGTTTAAATTAAATTCACCATAACTCCATTTCCCCCCATGTACTTGCATATGTGCAAGTGTAATGATGAATTATTTTGTTCATGTTGAAACAGCAAGACCAAGTTACTGGGAAAAGAAGCTGAGAAGAACAACTCTTCCACCAACTGATGAAGAAGGTAAATTGTCTAAACCCTTTTCGTACCAGAGCTAATAGTTCATAATATCAATGTATATCATTATTTATTGTACTATAATATCGAAACGATAAGACAGTGATGTTAGTGCCATTACATTCCATACCGTTAACATACCATGCTTTACCATACTACGATACATCATTAATGACTGCATACCATACTATGCTATACTTATAACACATATACCAGCCGACAATTAATCTGTTCAAAAAGTATAAGACAAAACACAGTCCGAAGATTAACATATTGAAACTCAAGATATGAGTCGAAACAAGACGAAAATGAGTTTGTGATTTTTCGATTATATTTCAACAGACTGAATTAGTCATCAGACTGAATTAGTCTGAGTTAGTCTCATGATGATTTTAAAATCGAAATATCACAAACTCAAGTCTTGTTTTGACTTTTGAATGTCAGAAATCAGAAGCTCGCCACGGGTTCTTTCAACCAATCAGAATGCTCGACAGTGTAATTTAATGAGATGCGAACACTCTCGGCAAGCTTGCCAGTTGATCTTTGCGATGAGTGAAAAAGAGCCCTGACTCATATCTTCAGTTTGAAAATGAAAACATTTTGAAATCCAAGAGATAGACAAAATAAGATAATATATGATTCCCTAATAGGATTGAAATATAACATTTTGATATTTATGTCTTGTTTTATTCCATATGTTGGCTTTTCAAGATGTTTTCATTTTTCGTTAGCTGCTTCTGGCTTTTGAACAAATATCACAAAATGTTTGTGATATTGTCTGAGTGTCCACACTGGGCAAGCTGAAAAGTTTGTTCGACCGCGGTGGGAATCGAACCGAGACCTTTGGTTTGCTAGTCCAATACTCTACCAACTGAGCTACTGTACAAAGTTAAGTCAGTTCGAGTGGGGATATTTTGGAACTCAGTCTAGTTCCATCAGTGTGTTTTTACGATCTTGATTTTTTTATTTCTGGTGAAGATCAAACATATCTGTACCTGAGTGCATAACACCAGAAACAAAAAATTCAAAGATCACTAAGTTTATTACAATTCAATTTAATACCAAATAAATTTTCCATTTTCAGTCACTGTAATGACAACACATGTGGACACAAGTAAACAGCAAAGCACCGAAATACTGGTAACACCAACTGAAGCTCGGCTTGGCCGTAATACTGGAAACGTCTTAAATCAAAATATTCTATTATCTCTGCTGTTTATATTAGCTGAAATAATTCGACATTTTGCGTAGTTTCAAGAGAAGCTGTACTGTATATACATGAATGAACGGAAACACTTGTATAAAATATGTTTTCAAAATGATTGATACAATTTAGGGTTAGTAGAGGAAACTTCGCGAAATTTTGAAGGAGGGGGGGGGGGGAGTAAATTTAGTTTGCAAACATATGACCACTTGTCTAAACTTTTTCCCCTTAAATTTATTGCAATATATAGCTTAACCCATTAAGTGGTAGCACTCTCCCCTTTACAAGTAAAATCGTCTGGTGTTAGACAGAGTAAAATACTAAAAATGGAGCATCAGGGCCCATTGCCACTTATTGCACTTAAAGGGTTAAGTTAATACAGTATATAGCCTACCAATACTTTCATGGTTGACAAGTTCACAGCTTTGTTTATACACAGTTATTGACCTATCACTCAAAGGTCTTCATTCAAATCTTCGAGTGAATCCCCTCCCCAGAAAAGATCAGCTCCGTACACTTACGGCAATTCCCCTGTTGTGCACAGTTATGTTTGCATCCCGCCGACTGTAACATTTTACTTGGCCAACAGAGGGTGGTGGGTGGGTTATTGACAGTCCATTGGGGATGGTGTCTCATGTCATTTACACCCGATTGTACATTGGCCGTTTCCGATCCTTGTTGGAATAGGCGAAGGCATTGGGAATGAACTAAAGGGAAATTTATTAATTTGGATATTATCTCAAACTTCAACAGAAGGAAATGAACAATTTCATGTTAGGTCTACTTGAATTAGGCGGACAACTATAGCACTGAATTATTTGGTTACGATATTTGGTGGGAATTTATTTTTTTAATATAACTGTAATGGTCTTCAATGTTTTACTGAAAACCGAAAGGAAATAGAGTCACTAGTGTAATGGTCTTCAATCATATTTTACTGAAAACCGAAAGGAAATAGAGTCATGTACTGACCCACAAGATCGACGTTTAAGCATACTACTCCACTCGCATGATTTATTCAATACGATTTGTGGAGGTCTTAGAAAGTGTTCTCTAATTAGACTACCTACGTCATCCTGTGTCAAATACTACGATTATTGCACTGATTTCAGATGCGCTTTAATGACATGGGGGGAAACATTGTCTGATGACGTCATGACTAACTGAAAATAATTCTAGTTACCATTTGGCAAAACCTTACCCTGGACTCCAGAGCCTTCGACAGTAAATAATAAATTGAAACGTCGCGAAGGCTCTGATTCAACGGGAAGATTCTTTGATTAAACCGCGCCAATCATAAAACAGAATTAGTGTACTAAAACTACTAATTCTGTTTTGTGATTGGCGCGGTTTAATCAAAGAATCTTCCCGTTGAACAAGAGCTTTCGCGACGTATCAATTATTTACTGTCGAAGGCTCTGGATTCCAGGGTAGCAAAACCTGAAATCAGCCCGAAAAATCGCAATGTGTAAACATAGCTTGACCAAAAGGGTTAATTAACCTAAATAGAAGTAAAATTTACTATATGTTTTAGTTTTTATTCATTATGTATGTATGTCATTCATCATGTAAATAAGGGAAAGGACCCATCATTTGATATTTATCGTTCTGTTAAGGCTATACAGTATACAACAAATACAAGCATGTAAGATTCTATTTAGCGGCACACTATATTAATTACATAATTTAAATAAATTATATTTCAAAATTAAACATAGAGTGTGAGTATGATGAACACACAGGGCCGCCGAGAGGTTGCGTGGGGTCTGGGGCAAACATTTCTCAGGAGCACTATGACGTCATAATTGTAAGACGGGAGGAGGCGGTGTTTTTATCATTTATAGACCCGGAGCGAGGGGGATTCGGCGTAATCCCCCGAGCGGAGGGTCTATAAATGATATATTATACCGAAAGTTAAAGAATTCCCTAAGTTCAGAATAAAGTTTAATTTAAACTTGCTGAATATTAACTACGCGAATACAATTTTTAATTTCTTATGTATACCCGAGTTTTTGACGTTTTCTCTTTAAAATATTTGAGCATGTATCCTTTGGATCATTAAAGGTAACATACGTCTTGAAAATCTTTGGTTAAATCAAATCTTCTACGAAATTACAAACAACAGCTCGCGAACGCCATATTGTTTCAGAGCGTGGTCCCACGTCCACGCGTCGCGCGTGAGATAATAATATCCCACGGTGGATCTGCCGTGGGAGAGCCTGCGAACATGCTCTCAAGCTGAATTGAGAGCCTGCATCGATGACTAATGAATTTGAATATCTGCCCCGTAACGTTCGTTTTTCCAAATATGGAATGTCTATCCTTATATGGTGTTGTTTACAACTTTCGTGCAAACTAAATTTAGACCGTGCAAACTAAATTTAGACTGTACAGTTTATACTGTTTTTCGAAATATAAGATATTCAAGCAAAAGTTCAAATGTTTTAAATACTGTTTTCTCAAAACAGAACATTTCGTGCTTTGAGATAAGATGGCCAAGACCAATTTGATCAGTTAATGTGTTTTTTATGCATAGTGCTTCAGCAGTTGACATATATAGAGCTCAGCGGAAACATATAAATTATAGCATCTGACCAATGAGAATTTCGCGTCACGATTTGAGACGCAGATATTCAAATTCATTAGTCATCGATGCAGGCTCTCAATTCAGCTTGAGAGCCTGTTCGCAGGCTAGCCGTGGGATATTATAGTATCCCACGCTGGATTGCGAAATCATGAATTTGAGTGAAATACCGTAAAAAATCACATTGTCACGTGGTACAAATGATGTTTTTTCATTGGACAATTTGAATTTGAGGTATAATATTACAATTTAAAACAACGGTTTAAAATACTGTATAAATATATACTGTATTTTTATATTTTATTAAAATACTCAGTGGTTGCCGCAATTTTTTTTTATATTACAATTTATTTCACTTCATTGCATATTATCCGGAACCAACGCAGCCAGGATCTATATTGTCAGTTTAAGCAATCTTCGAATCTATCCGATAAATCTCATGGGTCTCCGTTGCTTTTGGGGTCCCTTTTGAGCCCCAACCCGGGGCAAAGTGTCCCCCGCCAATGTCCTCTCTTTCGGCCGGCCTGATAAAGGATGCACAATTGTAGCCTGCGCGATTTATTTGCGGTTGTATACAATAAACGATAAACCGTTGTATACAAGGTCAAGGCGTGATAATCTGTATTTTTCGTTTGTAAACAGAGCGACGTCTACAACTCCCGTGGAATTTAAATTGTTCATTTCATTTCAGTCTGCAATTTCTGTTGTGAATTTTATTGTACGAATACGGTATTATCAGCAGTGTAAAATTTAGGTGTAAAATTAGTGTAAAATTTAAGGCTGTTCAGGCTTGTCACGTCCCCGTCTTGCTTACGTTCGCTAGTTCTAAATAATTCATCATTTTCTGCTACTCAGGCTAAATTGTTTGCGCCTCACATGACGGACTCTTCATGATTAGACAAAAAACAGGAAACTGCAATGCGCAGCTACAATATCGCAATATGCAAGACAGACTCACAGAAAAATAATAAACTTTCTTTCTTTTATATTTCATTTTCATTAACCTATTTCACTTCCATTAATTACCTTCAATTTCATTAATTTAACATTGACAAAATTAAGCCAATGAATATTTCACTGTTTCTAACATATTTAGATGGCAATAGCAATGATTATTTTCTATCAACAACTCGACGAAAACTGCCCGCAAATTTGCGACAAGAGTCGATAAACAATGAGTTTGACTTCCCGTTCATACATCAAACTGCAGAGCGTCTGTAAGAATAGTTAAGTTAGAATTCTTTTGTGAATAATAAAAAGAATGCTATGGATGGACAGATCAAATCTGAGCCTTTCCGAGTTACATGAATTCCCGGTAAGACGGTATTCATATATCATTATTCATGATCAATAATTATGTACTATTTGCAACATGAGCGGCCGTGTTGTATCGGATATACAAACTCGAGCCGAAGGCGAGAGTTTGTATATCTGATACAACACGCCGCGAATGTTGTAAATGGCTTAAAAAACGACTCATCTTATGAGTTCATTGGCGAAGTAATTTTAAAAATAAACGTTGTCTAAGCCGAGAAAATCAAAGTTAAAGTTTATGTAAATCAACATGAATCTGTATCACATATAGATATACAGACTCCTTCACGCCCCGCGTGATTCGTTTGTATTTTCTTGATGAATTATTAATGAGTTTTTTAATACGGTATATTGCGTCGATATAGATATACAGGGTGTATAAAAAAAAACGCAACCTCGGAATTTCCCAAGAAATTGACATGGTTTTAAAGACAAAAGATTTTAGGCGCCTGGGAATTTAAAATGTCAAAATTATTGCACACGCGAGTGCATAAAGCAAATATTTAATCACAACAACAGTAATAAGATATATTAGCAATTGATTTCAATTCCCAGGGGCTTAAAATCTTTTATGCTTAAGAATTGCAAAGTGTTTCTTAGGAAATTCCGAGGTTGCGTTTTTTTTATACACCCTGTAGATAGTTGAATTATTTCGCTGTAAAAAACAGCAACAGAAAGGCAATTGCTGGTTTAATTATTTTCACTATGTTATATTGAATTAGCTTTCGCCTTTCAAGTGTAACATGATATTTGCCCGGCAAAATTCGGAGAAAATGAACGTATTGCATTGTCTGTTTCCAGGAAAGAAGAATACCAAGAAATGCAGACAATGTTTAAAAGGCATACGAGTTTCAGTTTAATTTGTATCAGTGGAAGTGTAGTTCATAAAGGTTCAGAAACTCATTCGACTTCGATGATCCTGATGCATTTTCAAATTATTTACGATTTAATTGTCATCGTTAGTTGCACAAACCCTGTTGCTCTTTCGTTGCGACGATTTAAAGACGGTTAGTATTTACTTGTTTTATGTTTCTTAGGAAATTCCGAGGTTGCGTTTTTTTTATACACCCTGTAGATAGTTGAATTATTTCGCTGTAAAAAACAGCAACAGAAAGGCAATTGCTGGTTTAATTATTTTCACTATGTTATATTGAATTAGCTTTCGCCTTTCAAGTGTAACATGATATTTGCCCGGCAAAATTCGGAGAAAATGAACGTATTGCATTGTCTGTTTCCAGGAAAGAAGAATACCAAGAAATGCAGACAATGTTTAAAAGGCATACGAGTTTCAGTTTAATTTGTATCAGTGGAAGTGTAGTTCATAAAGGTTCAGAAACTCATTCGACTTCGATGATCCTGATGCATTTTCAAATTATTTACGATTTAATTGTCATCGTTAGTTGCACAAACCCTGTTGCTCTTTCGTTGCGACGATTTAAAGACGGTTAGTATTTACTTGTTTTATCTTTGCTTAGCCACAGGAACAAATGTCGACATACATCTAATACATATAGAACGGTTATAAACAGGCGAAGAGAAGATCTCGAATCCTTGAGGCTTGACCGTAACAATCGACTACAAGACTATGGCGTCGTATCAGTACTGATTCATCAAGTCTTACACTTGATGTTACTATGTTAGGTATTGTAAATCTCGTCAGCCTGAATAAATACAAGAGTCCGATTTCTATTATAATTCGAGTGAGAAGACTTTGTCAAAGATTCAGTAGAGAAAACATGATCACTTTAGACGAGGGCTTCTCGCCGGAAACGTACTGTAATCGTAGTTGCATGAACCCGCCGAAATGGACGACGGGTCTTCCTCAAGCAACAGCAACAGTTTTTAATTTCAAAACCGTGACCGGCTGACAACCGGTGGAAATCTACTTCGCTGTACTTGTTTAACATGTTTGTCTGTGAGTTGCATAAGCGACTAAAGCGAGGAATGACGCGGTCTTGAACAATCATCTAGTGTTGTAAGTATATAAAAATGGCGGGTTATATATAGGTGACTTTCAGGAAATTGCACGAGGCTTTAATGCAAAGACAGCTGGATATTTCAAAAGAGATTCCGTGCGGTTTGATACAATTTCAATGAGTGCTTTTGTTCATTCTTTTGTGTTGCCCTCCATAGCACGACGAAAGCTACCCTGTCTACTCATTGCGCTATAATCCCTATATAAACTGAGTCATTAGACTCAAGAGAATATCTGATTTTCCAAGAGCCAAGGTAAGAATCGGTATAATTGACGGTTTACCCACACTGATCCAGAAGGAGTGATATTTGAGAAACATCCAGCACCAAGTAGTGCTTCAATCTTGTCATCATTCTACGTTATTGACAATAATCGTATTCAGTCTGGTGACAAGCTGAGTGGCGTGATCGTGCATGAATTGCATGATGTTTAGGGTTAGCATGTTTCAATCAAAACAGCGCCCAATATTTGCCATGATAACTATTGCTAACCAATGTTCAAACAATCTATCTACTTTATAGTTGTACACTCTCAATAGTGCTTGTCCGATTCACGATCGTTCGAGAACACCAAAATATTGTGTACAATTTGTACAGTATTAACTATATTTGTACAGTTCTTACTTTATATATAATTTTATTCAGAATTACACCCCCAAAGGGTGGTATTTATTACTAACATTGCACCATTACACTCCCAAAGGATGGTATTTATTACTAACATTGCACCATTACATATATAGGTGGCGCAGAGAAACTTCTGAATGAAAAAAAGCGAACAGTGACTGTTGTCCCCGGACAAGAAGCAAAATTAAAGTGGGTGTTTCAAACCAGCAATAAAATTATTTTTCATGGAATAGTGTGGACGATCAAAGATCGTGTGTTTAAAAATTCCACCAAATTGCTGTGGATGGACAGAGTTGAGAGGTTGTATCGACATTTGCACACTAAAAATCGCCCTGATTATGACGTGAAACTCAAGTCTGAGACAATCAATAATACAGATGTACAACTGACTATTGTCATACCAAATGTTCAGCGCATACATGAAAATAAATATATCTGTCATGTTATGGGATTCAAAATTGGACCATTTGAGATTGAACTGAAAGTCAAAGGTGAGAAAAAAATAATTTTATAGGCCACGATTATTAAAATTTCTGCAAAAATTCGAGTATCCTATTTCATTTCACAATAGATATTCCATGAATAAAAATGACAGATGTTATTTGAAACCCTGCGGGTAATTGTAGATTACATTTTTACGCATTACTAGAATTAAATTTGGATGAAGGAGATATTTATGCCTCGTGTACTTATTCTACGGCTGAACCTTATATTCAGTTTCTCAACTTTACTCCAATTGTTGCGAATTTCGTTAAACATTTTCTGTATCAGACATATAACATTGTGTGAGCTCTTAGATGAACTTATTAGCTCTTTGAAGTGTTGGTACAAACCGTAACATATAAAAACATAAGAATTTAGATATTTGAAAATGGTACAAGTGTACAACTGCACTCAACAATAATCAATTGCAGTGACTTGTGTATAATCAGCAATATTTTGAAACCGGCATTAGGTTTGGAAACTTGTAAAGTTTAATTCCTGGTAAACACTCAAAGCGATTGCGATTCATTCTTCCGTCGACTCTAAGAAAAAAGGAGTTTCCCACAAGCCTTATCTCTTCCCGGAAATTTCTCCATGCAGATATGTTTTTAACACTGTGCTCTATATATAACTCTGATGTCAAAGTTGGAGAACCTTGTTTGTCCTAAAGTTACCGGAAACAGATCTGTTGACTGAGGCTAATAATTACCCTTTCACTTCGCTTTCACCCTACAGTTTCTGCCTCGTCAATATCCTGCGCATGATAATAGAGTTACTACGAATTTTTCCTTGCGGAAGGTTGCCAAGCTATTACGGAACAGACATACTATATAATGAGGAATCTCTTGATTTTAAGTGCCAATATACGACAACTTGAAATAATTCAACAACTACGTAATTGGTGTATTTGTGCGTTTTTGTTCCGTGTTTGATAATTCATACAAATCACTCTTACGGTATTTTAATACTAAATAAGGAATTAAAAGGCTAGTAATTTGATCCAAAAGGCACTAATTCATTGTAAAGTTGTCTGTTCCCAAACATGAGTCTGGAAATGTGGTTGTTTCTAGTTGTGCAACTAAGACCCCAGTGACACGATACCGGATTCGATTTTACGACATCAACATATGCCATTCAGGAGTTATGTCTGCCCACAAAATTTTCCCCTTTAACAGTTTTCGTTTCAGTTAGTCATGTATCGAATGTTAGTCATATTCCTCAAGCCGTTAAATTCGATATCCAGTATCGTGTAACTGGGGCCTAAATCAAAACATCTTGTTTTACTAGAATTACAAAACATTACGTTATCAAATGGTAATAGAACGACCGTATCAGAAAATCCCACCAACTCGGCCACTGAAATGACAAAACCCATCGGCATCCTTGTACGAAATGGAAGTTCAGAAATCCTTATAGGATTTCATAGTAATCCGGTTCCAACTGTCCAAGGTAATTAACGTATTTATATATAGAAGGAGGGGGACATTGGGATTTACGGTATGGCGGTATTACCTTATTTTTCTTACGGTATTTTCCTTGAAAAATTGCGGTATTACGACTATATTGGAAATCTTGCGTACATGGTATTTGCAATTTTGGACTCAAAAACTACGGTAATTGACAAAATTTGCTTGCTTCACGGTATTGAATACACCCCAATGCCCCATTGTAGAAGCGGGATGTTGGATACTGACTACTGTGTTTTAAAGTAGTTTGAACATGGATATTTGTGGCAGGAATATGAATATTTGGGTAGGAATATGAATACTCAGAATATAGAAATATTTGAAACAAAATTGGAATAAATATTTGTCGGTCATCCGCTTCCCCCTCCTTGCCAGGTATTCTAAGAATATTTTAGCAGCAATACCGTGTATTACAGAAGTAAAGTTCTTCCGCTTTCACCCCCGAGTACCCCTTACTCGAGTACTCCTTACTCCTATTCTCAGGGGGTGGTGAAGCAACAATTCAGGGATAAGCTCCAGAATGTAACTGACAAGGCAAGTGCCGGAGAACTTCCTGTGGTATCGGACGACATGATGGTAGAAGTGATCAGAGTGAACGATAGGCTGATGGCAGCAGACTAGTACCACTGAAGAACGTGATGATGTTTGTGGTAGCAGCATATGAACGCACACATAGGGTCAGACAGGAAAGAATATTTTATTTGTAGCAGACTAGTACCACTGAAGAACGTGATGATGTTTGTGATAGCAGCATATGAACGCACACATAGGGTCAGACAGGAAAGAATATTTTATTTGTAGCAGACTAGTACCACTGAAGAACGTGATGATGTTTGTGGTAGCAGCATATGAACGCACACATAGGGTCAGACAGGAAAGAATATTTTATTTGTAGCAGACTAGTACCACTGAAGAACGTGATGATGTTTGTGATAGCAGCATATGAACGCACACATAGGGTCAGACAGGAAAGAATATTTTATTTGTAGCAGACTAGTACCACTGAAGAACGTGATGATGTTTGTGGTAGCAGCATATGAACGCACACATAGGGTCAGACAGGAAAGAATATTTTATTTGTAGCAGACTAGTACCACTGAAGAACGTGATGATGTTTGTGGTAGCAGCATATGAACGCACACATAGGGTCAGACAGGAAAGAATATTTTAATTGTAGCAGACTAGTACCACTGAAGAACGTGATGATGTTTGTGGTAGCAGCATATGAACGCACACATAGGGTCAGACAGGAAAGAATATTTTATTTGTAGCAGACTAGTACCACTGAAGAACGTGATGATGTTTGTGGTAGCAGCATATGAACGCACACATAGGGTCAGACAGGAAAGGCTTAGAAGAATACATCTGACAATATGGCAGAGACACCTGCTGAAGGGCAAAACCGAGATGTGTTGTCTGAATGGTTGGATGATTGCAAACACTTGGTCTGAAAAGAGAAACAGCTACCTGTACACCTACTACAGTGGTGCAAATAAGATGCAGCTAGCCATGATTGTAGTAGGAATAAGTCAGTGGGGGTATGTGCTGGACACAAAAGTGATACCAAGTGAGACAGTGGCACCGCAGCACAAAAAAATGATGGCAACACTGAGACTAGGAAGATTTCGACAAGAAGTGCTAGAACAACAACCGAGAGCAGAGAATGTAGGGAGGTCAGAGTGAAAGGCATGAGTCCCTTCGGTGAACAGCGGAACGAATCTGTGGAAGAATTGGAACTGCAACCGTCAAGTGAGGCATGTCGTAGATACAAAATAGCAAAGACAAAGGCGAAATGGGCAGTCGAACAAGCCAAAGAAAGGGCGGAAGATGATCTACAGTACACCACAAACTGAACAATGAGCAACCGGTTGCCTGAAAGTAGAGATATTTAAGATAACAACATAGCATTGCCCTTCATTAACAACAGCGATGGGCATAGGCGTACGGGAGGGTGGGGCTGCAGCCCCCCCCAAAATTTTTGAGAATTTATCTATTCGGGCAAAAATTGTCTTGTCATTCGGGCAACGACGGTCTGGTGAGTAGACGAATATATTGATTCATAAAGCGGAACAGAAGTATTATTTCAACAAGTTCAACTTTTACGTAAGGTTCAATCATGCAATGGAAATCTGTAATGGCATTAATACCATAGATCGCATGCATCAGGTTAACCTTTATTAATTTAAAGGTCAAGTGCTCTAACTTAACCGGATTTGGTTTTGATTTTTACGTTACGCACATACCACAGACGTAAATCCCCAACCATACCTAATTTTAAGAATTTTTTATCACTGCACAGTTTTGTGCAAAGTTTAGTCGAGCAGAAGCACGCCCTGAAAATTTCTGAACACACCCCCTTATAATAATGTGTAACAACAAAGCAGGCTACTACTACAAAACGAACATACACTGCACAGCACTCAGGGAAATTTGGGGGCCCAGGACAAACTTTGACTTGGGGGCTCTCGTGATTCCATGTTCTAACACTATGATTCCCTGGTCCGGTGGCATCACCCGGAAAAATTTTGAATCTGAGGTCCCAGAAATGGCCAAATCCTGCATTCTGGAAGTCTAGTTGACAGTTAGTTATATCTATGTACATTTAACTGCAATTCTTTATTAGGGCAATAGCCCCCGCCCCCCCCCCCTTTAACTGGGGTCCCAGGGCAAATTGCACCCCTCTGGGCGGCCTTGACAGCACTTGCAGTTACGACTATCTGTGACAGCTTAGTTTCATAATAACATGACTGAAGAAAATAAATATTTTCGTCTTGGCAAATGAAGGCGGCTCACGGGCTTAGGCGTGACAAACCTCTAGAGGAGTTCCAGGGGCATGCACCCACAGACAATTTTGTAATCTAGGCACTATAAAAGGGTATCTCCTGCAATGTGCGGAGACATTCTATAGAATTCTGAAAATTATACAGTAATTACAAAATCTTATAAGTATCATTCACTCCTTCTTCCAAACTCATAAAGAGATCTTTGGTGAGAGACTTTGTTCATCTGATGAACCATAAGTATGTTATTAATGCGGACGTTCGATAATTTGGCAGTCATCATTTCAATTTAAATTAAATCGGCATTCTCATTCAAAATGTATCGCCGGACTAGTTCAGTTTTTCTGCTCATTGTCTCATTTTCTTGTGTTAACAACTTATCAAAGCAAATTTTATCACTGCACATTTTACATTTTATCACTGCACATTTTACTTTTATCTGCACAAATTGGTTATCACTGCACACTAAAATTAGGTATGTCCCCAACAACGAAGGAACAATTGGTATGGCTACTAAAAAAATCGGCTACTGTATTCATGCCTATATTCATCAGTTTACCTAGCATAATGTATAGGCTATACAACTATTAAACTATATAACTATATAGTATATAGCTACACATTTTTGCGAAGGTGTGGTATCGTAAGTGTGCGTATACTAACAATCGGATCAGTAATGTTTATCTCCTTTGATAGCATTGGTTGCGTAAATACAGTCTCTGGTCTTGGGCGGCACCGCGGCTATGACACAGCAGTCACTGAAAATAGATACTACATTATAATTGACATTGATGTAACCGTACAAATACTGTACAATGACATAATGTGACTAATTTTAGAATTTTAGATAGACATAAAAGTGCGCGTTTTTTTTTACAATCATTACGTATGGCATCTCGTAAAAGACAGTACCGACATCGCGTTCGGTGCGAGGAATGCAATAAGGAAATCGACAGTGATTATAAAGAGGTGCATTCTCGATTGGTTCACAATAGTAAAAAAGTAAAATGTTATCCAGTGATGGAATCATCGGATTCATCCCAGTCGAAAATCAGTACATTCTTGGTAAAAAGTAACATGACAACCAAGGACGATGACAACCTTAGCTTATAAATGAAATGGCTGGGGACGACATATTTCTTTTTATATCACGTTCGTCAATCTTCAAATAAAAGCCTTTCATTTGTAGTCTTCTTAGATTATATAATTTTATGATGACGTCACGAAATCTATGACGTCATGTCATTCGGGCAAATTCAGCCCAGCCCCCCCCAAAAAAAATGTGCCCGTACGCCTATGACGATGGGGCATTACAGGTAGAGGGGGAAGCAGTAATGGAGATGTGCAGATAGTACTTTGACACCTTACTTAACGAGAAAAAAGGTTTACAGTAAACCTACCGACAACACCACCAGTAGGCCAACCCACAACCAGGAACCTTTATAGCGGAAATAAAGCTTGCAATAAGTAAGATGAAACGAGGAAAATCAGCAGTACATAGAGATGATACTAGCTAAGATGATACTAGTGTTGGGAAAAAAGGGATCGTATGGCTACATTTCTGTAAAGAATAGCGAATACTTTGCGACTGGTTAGAACTCATCTTGGTAGCGATATTCAAGAATAACGGGAAAATACAAGCGTGTGGGAACTACAGAGGGATCAACTTCTATTGCAGATGATGAAATGACTTGAGAGAATACTAATATTGGGGAGCCGTACCTGGAAGAAAAACAGTTTGGATTCGGAAAGGGGATTTATGGTCATTGTGAGAAAGATGGTGGAGAGAAAAGTCAAACAATTAAGAAAACGGTTGCGGTTCCCTCGACTTAGAGAACGTGCATGCCAAAATTAATAGAGAAATTATCCCACCAGTACTATGACAGTATCACGTCCCGAAAGAAATGAGAACAATGGTGATGGTTCTGTACAGAACACCAAGCACGCAAGTGAGAACATGCTAAAATCAAGGCATTTGAGGTTAAAGTGGGCTTACATCAGGGCGCAGCTTCGAGTCTACTGTCTTCTGTTGTAAGTGAGTGTTGTTCATAATATTCGTGAACCACAACAGTAAACAGTGCCCAATAGAGCGAGGACAGAAGATCTTCTATGCTGTTGAAATCGTGTTGGGTACGAACACAGCAGAATTACAAAAAAGAACAATAGAGAAGTAGAACAACCAACTGGCAGTGCATGGTTTGCAGATGGGCAAGGTAAAAACGGAAGTAATGAAATTTTCTGGAGGAAAGCAGACGATACAAACTACAGTGGCTGGTCAGCAATTGAGGCAAACAACAGGCTTCAGATACCTTGGAAGTTGGCTACAGTACAAGAGAAGGGAGATCTGGGTAGAGACTGCAGGGAACACATGGAGGAATATTAGTGGAATAATATTTGACAAAAGAATGCCAATGAGTCTGAAAACGCGGGTGTATAAAAAATGATGGTAATACCGGTGATCCAATACGGCGCAAAGGAAGAACAAATGAAGAAATTGGAAGTTGTGGAGAGGAGATATCTACGAGCTATTCGGGGACAAACACGATGAGAGAGAATGAGAAATGAAGACATAAGGAAGGAATTGAAGGTGGCGGAACTGAGAGAGAAGGTAAAGATGGTATGGCCACGTGCAACCTCGCAAGCCAGGCTCTCTACTTCCGCTTCCCTCCCAAGTGCGGGATGATGGTACAGTGGTGAATTTGGATATAGTTGACGACAGAATAGAGTGGAGAAATGTGTCAACCCGAACCCCCCAAACAGAATGATGATTTACTACTATGATTTACTAACTTGTCACTCCTGCAATTCACACATACGGATTAGCTCTTCTGAAGATATTATCACATGTTTATTTTTATCATATTAGTACACTGTATACGTATTGTCCACATAAGCCCCGTTGACAATATTTTATTGCTGTAGAAAGTTGAACTAGATTTAATATTAAAGAATTGTAATTTATTAAAATTCTTCGCTTCTAGTAACCCCTCCTTTTGACCCCACAGCAAGAATCCTTGCGTCAGAGTTCTGTAAGTTATTCAATATTATAATTATTCAATATAATACACACATGAATCTTGTAGGAAAGCTTGGGACATCCTGTATATTATTAATCATAAATTTATATTATCGTATTTAGCATCTTCGTCTGGTTTAAACCTCAATCTACTTAGTATTATCCTCATCACCTTCTCAGCTGTGCTCATCATTGTTGTTTTAATGGGAATACTGATCTATAAGCGACGACGCAAACGTATGTTTGTTTTGTATTTCCATTTGATTTGCATATAATAAAAATTCATTATAACATATGTTAGCTATATAAAAACGTTTTTGATTGGCTGAAATGCGTGCTCAATATAAGATTGAGCCGGGCAAATATTTTGCTAACACTTTTTTCGCACTTTCCCAACTTCCCGCATGCTCAATAACTCGATCTCAAGCACACCAAATCTTGAAAAATTCTTAATTTTGAAATATAATTTAATTCTTTTTTGTGTTTTAGGTAGGCAAAGCGGAAGGTACACGAGGCTTATTTTTTAATTAACAAAGTCTTCACAGTTATTTGAAACCTAGATTGCTGCAGGCACAGCTGTAATCGATGCCTATTTCAAAATAATGCGGCGTGTTTTTATATTTTCAAGGAATGCTAGGTCTTCTGTTGGAAGCACAGATATGCAAGTGAGTTTACGTTTCTTCATCAACAAATAATTGTTTTGTTCCTGCATGTTTTTAACACGCTAATTATCGTGGAAAATACAGTTCTTCTTCTTGCCATGTAAAAGTTGTTAAATACCTGAATGACTATCTATAATTATGTCAGTTCAATATTTTGGAAAGGAAAACAATTTAGAAACAACCTAAAAAGCAGATGTAATAACCATATCATTCTATTCATTTTATTAAAAACATAGTTAAACAGGATTAACCTCTTCAGTTAAAATAACTGCGATCAAGAAAAGTACATATAATAAAATATAAAGAAAGTTGTTATTTGTCCGGTCACAGAAACCATGGATAATAAAATAAATGGATAGGAAACTAGCTGACGTGACCTAATGTTTTCAATGGGCTGATGGCGTGATTGGAGTTGAAACCTAGTTGCAAAACAAATTCTCAAAAACGGCATGTTTAGCAATAATACAGCTAAATATTTTAGTCAAAGAGCAAAGCACTAAACAGTGAAAAAGGCATCCCAAATTTCGTTAAAATTGGGGACGCCAATTTCGTAGCTATAAATGTAAAAAAATACAAAACAAAGACGAAAAACATTTACCTTGAATACTTTATCGTGGCTTAGGCATGCTTTTAAAACAATTAGACCAGTATATGCTTCAGTATTACTCTTTTAAAGCGGAAAGTATAGCGAAACAACAAAAATGCCGAGAACTTTGCAATACGCGTGACGTCACAGATTGCAACTAGGTTGTTTTTGCTTACGTCAGCTAGAGTCCTATCCATTTATTTTATTATCCATGCAGAAACTAACGAGCTTTGGCTATTTGTCCGTGAATTAATTTGATTGGTCCATTTAAATGGTCAGTGCATGGTTGTTTCACACAATAAAACTGGTGATTGAATTATGTTTATGAAAAGCAAAAAAGAACTATATGGTAGTTACATGGTGATAAATTTGTTTCAAGCTTGTAATGTTTGTATGTTTGTCATAGAAGCCAATCATATCCCACCGCAGCGCCCACGAAAATAGAAGAATAAGTATTGAAACAAACAGATCAAGTAGAAGTGATGAGAACCAGTTTTCGTTTGAGTCAACAAGAACAGGATTTTCATATGAAGACAGTGTTGGCAGTTTTCACGGAACAATGCCAGTGTGTTCGGTACACTTCACTCATATTCCACAACCAGAAAATATAGACAATACGCAAAATGAATTTGTTGGGAATTACGGATTATTAAGTTCTTACGAAATTGATCGCTGCTTACTTCACGATATGGTGACAATTGGCGAAGGTGCATTTGGAGTTGTTGCAAGAGCGACGTTACTGAAAGAAAGAAATAGCACGGAGAAACAAACTGTGGCTGTGAAAATGTTGAAAGGTTTATCAGTTTTTTGAAAATAAGTTTTGAAAGTTTATTTTCTCTTTCACCGTCGAAATATTTCAACTGACAACGTTTATTCCAAGCATAGATTCTCATTCTTAAATTTCATGTCATGGCATTTTCTACTCCAAAAATGTTTCTGAATTCGTCGTTTGTAAGATGGCCACACGATCGTAGTATATTTATTTCTTGCGCCCGTCCGAACATTGTCATTTTCCTATCGTTGACACAGAGTATATTTTGTCAACAATATAAATGGTAAAAATCTTTCCCTATAACTAGAATACTTTTCTGTATAGTATTCGCATCTCCAGAAGACAGAGAGGATCTGATGTCAGAGTTAGACATAATGAGCCGTGTTGAATCACATAGGAATGTTGTAGGTTTGATTGGATGCGTCACAAGATCAGGTAAATATTTCTCTTCTCATAAGATTTGACATCAAAGTTAATAGGATTTGTCACAAACTTATGAAAAGATTTTTATTTCTTTTTTTTAAATAATAATAATAATAATAATAATATATAATAATATATATATATAATAATATATATATATATATATATATATATATATATATATATATATATATATATTATTAAAGTTCTCCGGATTGAAATATACTTTTATTAAAAAAAATAAATAAAAGTATATTTCAATCCGGAGAAATTTAATTAAATATAATATGCCTGGATTAGCTACAAATCTTTAAACATACTACTATACGTTTTGTTCCATTGCACTCTTTGTGTTTTCGATAAATCGCATCCGTCAAAATCTTCTCGTACGGTGATCACAGTTTATTTTAACCCGATATTCGAAACTCAGTAAATGGGATTTAATGCAAATACGACTCGTCAAAATGGCGAAAGCTTACAGTAAACCTTTTAATATTAGTCTATTTTGGTATTATATAAAACAAATAATGAATGTTTTTATTCGTGCAATGGTAAGAATATTTTCATTCGGTGAAAGATGGAATGTTCCATTCAACTCGGCTGTCGACTCGTTGAATGGAACATTCCATCTTTCACCTCATGAAAATATTCTTACCATTGCACTCATAAACATTCATTATTTGTATAATTTATTATTTGTATATATATATATATATATATATATATATATATATATATATATATATATATATATATATATATATATATATATATATATATATATATTAATGAGACCAAAAATGATAAAATTTTACAGTGTAGAAAGAGTGCTCAATACCATTTAATGACGTAGAGCAAATAATTAATTTGTTAACTTAAAATATAGTCACAACTCTGAGTTTCACGCTCAATGCATGCGATCTTCAGGCGACAATGTTTAAATCTCGATTAAAAATTCCTGTATGGATACGTGCGAGTTCGTTAGGCTACTTGCGGGATTGTACTGCGTGCGCACGTTCAAATCTTCCCGCCAAGAATTGCTTCCGGTGGCGACACTTTGAGAATAGCTCACATCTCCTGTTCAACAATCTTTTCTTGTCACCTTTTAAAATTTCTAGTTTCTCTTGGAGGCATAAGTTGCAACTTTTTGCGCCGCTGCGACAAGGTGATGCTTGCTTCAGAATGGACCACTTGATGTTGAATGTACGTTTCTTGTTTTTCAAGTTCCAAATGTGTTTGGACAGCTCAGTGGATTAACATAGCTGGTATCTTTGAATGAGGTCTTGTGGTTGTAAAAACGTTTCTTAAACGTGTTTGATGTCATCCCAATATAATCTCGAATTATACTCCTGTGTCGTCCGTAACCTCGGCTTTATAGACAACGCTCTTTGTAAGGCAATTATTGTTTAAGGGACATTCAGTGCTTTCTATGCAGTTTCTTGTAATCCAGGCGTGGCTTTGATCGTGTACGGACGCGTCTTTGAGAGCTCCGTATAGCTCTGATATAGCTTGTAGATATAGCTCTGTAAAGCGCCTACAAAGGCAGCCATATATTAATTGAACCTTAGTACACATCTCGTTCCTGTATCAAGAGATTCTTAGCTCGTTTGAATGTTGAAATCATGTTCTCAAGTAGAAGACTTCACACCGCCATATTCAATCCGACGGCAATGACATTTTATAATTTGGTTTACCGGGCAACAAATTATTAGAGAGGTTAAGATAGCCCGGTTCCGGTTTACGGGTACGGGTGATATACACGTACCCGTACCCGTAAACCGGGGAACGACTTGTAACTTAAGAAATCCAAGATATTTCGGCGTGAGTAAACTATCAGAGAATGGCAACTTTTGCTGTTAAGGTTCGCCATAGATTGTTGAAAACACTGACAAGCATAAGTGCATTATTTATTTGGGTAAGATGTTGAAAATTTTTACTATTTAAACGGCCCACAAATAGTAAACAGAAAACACCCGTACCCGTTTCTCTTTTACGTGTAGACCATGGTTTACCGCGGGGAAACGGGTAGAAATTACGGGTAAAAATGCTGACATCAGCAAACATTAGTAAACAAAATGGCGATACTCGTACCCGTAAAACGGAACCGGGGTATCTTAACCTCTCTAATATATCAAAAACAGCAAACCAGAATGTATCTTTGAAAGAACCCTTCAGCCGTATAGAAGATGTCGTGCCGGAAAGCAAGTTCGAGAAAGACGTCAATGCAACAATCAATCGCTGTTATAACCCGCCCTCGACAGACGATGTTGTTTACTTCAAACGCAGTCCGAAATGTTATGTCTCGTGGGGCCAGATCATTGGTTACTATCAACCCACTTAGTAAACCGAATGAAAGTCGAAATACCATCAACTCTGGACACAAAATATCACCTGAACAGCGAAAGCAAAAACCAATCGAAAAAAGAAATCAGAAGCAAAGAAACTGAAACATTTCCGACGCCATTGTTTCAAGAACAAACAATTCGCCTTATTTGAATATTATTGATCCCGCCGTATACACTAATGGGACAGTTAACAATAGCAAGAATAAAAGTAATTCCAGACTTATAGTGATTCACGTAAACATTCGCTCTTTGAGAAATACGACTCACCTGGTACAACTCCGCGAATTCGCTGAATCAAACAAACCTGACGTCCTGACGATTTCCGAGTCTTGGCTTAATACCACAATAACCAACTGTGAAATTCGTATCGATGGCTACAAACTTTTTAGATTTGATCGACTGTACAAGACAGGCGGTGGTGAGTGCGCTTACATTCGCCAGGGCATTAAAGCACCTAAGATGAAAGAACTTTCTAGCATATCCGAAAACAGTTTCCATCAACCTGGTTAAAGCTGCAATCTGAGAAGCTGAAATCTCTCTTGATATATGCGTATCTTACAGACCCCCTGATTGTCCTCTGTCCTGTTTCGAAAACCACCTGAAGCCATGCTACAACAAAGCCCTCGTATTTAGTAAACCAATCATAGTTATCGGTGACCTAAATTGTGATACCTTGAAGAATGGTCCTGACAGTAAAGCACTATTTGATATCTCAGTTGAACTTAATCTCTCACAGATCATCAAGGCTCCAACCAGAATAACAGACACCTCTCAGTCACTCATCGATGTGATTCTGGTCTCCTGTCCCACACTTGTATACAATAGTGGCGTTATTAACAACCCAATCAGTGACCATCTCCCAGTTTATGCCGTACGTAAGTTAAAACCACCCACGCCTCCACCTATCTACATTACGGTACGCAGTTTCAGGAATTATGACCCAGAAGCCTTTGCGGCAGACCTTTCTATCAACTCGTTCGTCGGGGCTATTCACTCCATCATACATGGACATAAATTCCATGCTCTCTAGCTTTAATGACGTAATCAGCTCAGTCCTCGACGTTCACGCTCCCATCAGAACCATAAAGTTTCGCAGTCGACCTTGCCTGTATGTCACTTTAGAAATCAAACAGCTTATGAAGAGGAACAATCTACATCGCAGATTCCTGCAAATTCTCGACCCCAATGACTGGCAAAATTACAAAAATTCTCGCAAAGAAATAAAGGTAATTTTACAGGATGCTGAAAGAAATTACATATCGTCTGAAGTTCAACAATACAGGGATAATCCCAGATCAGTGTGGAAAATTATCAGTTATCCCTTCCAAAGACAAAGAGCTTCAAGTTTATAGTAAAGACCGACACCTTGTAGCAGAAGAATTCAATCAGTATTTTTCCTCCGTCGGTCGCAACACCGCTAAAGAGGCCCTGCGCCTAGCAGATGTGCACGATGGAAATGTTTTATCAAATTTTACACCCATACCTATTATAGTTGTCGCAGAAAACCAGTTCAACCTCAGGCCAGTCTCAAGCACAACGGTTCGCGCTATTATAGTCTCCGTGCCTTCAAATAAATCCCCTGGTCCAGATAAAATTAACATGCGTGTTATCAAAGACTGTCTCCATGTTATCTTGGAACCCCTAACCAGCATAGTAAACCGCTCGCTCACCACCTCTGAGTTCCCAGATGCATGGAAAATAGCCGAATTAATACCATTGTTGAAAGAGGGAGATCACGAAGTGCCTTCAAATAACCGACCTCTTTCGCTTCTCAACTTTGCTTCCAAAGTTTGTGAGAGGGTAGTTCTCGATCAGTTCAGTTGCTATCTAATGGAAAATAATCGCCTTTCCTCGCGCCAAAGTGCATGGTAACAGGAAAAACACTCTACAGAGACACTCAACATATCGGTCAGTGATAAAATCTTGGAGGCTATGGACAAGAAGTTGTCAGCACTCATCCTGTTAGACCTTTCGACAGCGTTAGTCATACCATCTTACTTCAAAAGCTTAGTCGTGTGGGTGCGTCGCCAGACACGTAAATTGGTTGTGTAGTTACCTTTCTCGTAGAAGTCAGTACGTTCGCATTGGATCTGCAGTGTCCTCTCTTCTCCCCATCACGCACGGTGTGCCGCCATTGTGCCGCAGGGTGCCATTCTATATCACCTCTGTTGTTTAGTAAAACGTGGACGACCTACCTCAGGCACCGCAAACATCCGACCTCGATTCTTACATAGACGACTCGAAAGTCCTATTATCTTTTCTCATTAAAGACCTGGACCAAGCAACCATAAATCTAGAAGAAGACCTTGCAAGAGTTGCCAACTGGTGTTCTACGAACCAACTGCCATCTAACCCTTCGAAAACCAAATTTATCCTTATAGGAACTCGACACTAATTATTGCAGAGACTCCCTAAGGAAATGTCGCTGACCTTTCTTGGCGAAGTCATTAAACCGGTTACGTGAGCGAGTGATTTGGGCATATTCTCATGTAAATTTGCGCGATATAAATATTAAATTATTATTAATTATTATTACTCTTGATACCCACCTCACATTTGACTCCCACATTACCAAAGTTGTTTCATGTGAAATAGTTTCTTGTGAAACTATGCCAGATCAATCAGTTTTGATCATAAAACGTTACTTCTGATTATTTCATCATTGGTCATGAGTAAACTTTTGTACTGTTCGTCGGTATGGGCCAACACGAGCGGCAAAAAACATAGAAAAACTGCAAAAGGTACAAAATTTTGCCTGCAGAATCGTTTGCAACATACAAAAGTACGACCACGTAAGCCCTGCCATACGTCAGCTTAACTGGTTACCTATAAAAAACAACTGCAATACAAAGATGCAGTGATGGCGTATAAGTGTCTAAATAAGCTCGCGCCACCATACCTTTGCGACAAGTTTGTCAAGAGGTCGGAGTTACATAGCCGTCAAACTCGCAACAATAACCAGCTAGATATCCCGGTCGCGGGTTCAAGACCCAGCCTCGGCAGACAACATCTTTCTGCTTGCGCTGGGTATGGAAATGATATAATACACACTCTAGAACATTTTCATCTTAATATATATATATATATATATATATATATATATATATATATATATATATATATATATATATATATATATATATATATTTTT